TTACGGTTTAGGGTGCAGAGTTTAGGGCCGAGGGTCCAGGGTTGGAGTTCACAGGGACAGGGTTTCTTAGGATGTTTTGTTGGGTTTTATGGCGTAAAAACGATCGAAAGGGGGACCCTAGCAAGAAGGGCTTTAACAAGGGTAGCTACACTGCAATCATCTATAACCCTGATTCAGGTTTAGGGTTTCCGGTTTAGGGGTTACCTGGATCCTCGAAGTAAGGGGCCCCAATACGCACGCAAAGGTGGAGATCCTGTATCTGGGATGCAGAGACCCCTAGGAGTTGGGGATTTCGGGTTTAGGGTTTAGGATTTCAGAATCAGAAGGCCCTGGTTAGAAGATCCCTGTGTTCGTAAGCTCCCACAAGAAGCCCCAAGAAGGAATTCTTCAAAGCTTCCGTACAATCCTTTCAATGAAACCGAAAAAAAGAAAAAAACCCGCAAAACCCCAAGCCCCCTAACCACCGAAACCCAAAAAAAGCCCCAAACCCCTAAAGCCATAAAGAACAAAAAAAAGCCCCCAAAAAGCCCCAAAAACCCTCAAACCAACCCCCAGCACAAAAAGCTCCAGCTGCTGCCAGCGCCGCGCGTGCCAAAGCCTGGGTTCTTGTTAAAGGATTTTCTTGTTATAGGATTTAGTTTAAGTTACCATAATAGGGATCTAGAGCAAATAATAAGGTTTCCGTATTTATGGTTACTTAAAGCAAAATCCCCCTAAACCCTAAACCCTAAACCTTAAACCCTCCTTATTTATGGCTACTTAAAGCTAAATCCCCCTAAACCCTAAACCTTAAACCCTCCTTATATATGGTTACTTAAAGCTAAATCCCCTAACAAGAGCCCAGACGCATCTTCGCCACGTCCAGGCGGCTGCGGAGGATCTCGGCCTCGAGGCCTGGAAGGCTGGGTTCTTGTTAGGGGATTGAATTTAAGTTAAGGGTTTAGGGTTTCGGGTTTTTTTTAGGGCTTAATGTTTAAATAATTTAGGGCTTTTGGGTTTTAGGGCCTTTAGGGTTTCGGGGTTTAGGGCTTAGGGGTTTAGGGTTTAGGGTTTAGGGTTTAGGCTTTAGAACCCTACTGGGTTCTTGTTAGGGGATTGAATTTAGGTTACTTTTAAATAAGGAAAGCATGTTATTTACTATAGATCCCTATTATGGCAACTTAAGTTATCGGCTCTTGGGTTTAGGGCCTTTAGGGTTTAGGGTCTAGGATCTAGGGTTAGGTTTGGGGTTTTGGGGTTTGGGGTTTAGGAGCCCTGGCTGCTATAAGTGGGGGATGCATTTTAAGAAAGACTTCTTGTCTGCGCTAAGGGTTCTAGAAGGCCTCCGAACAAGGTGTTCAAACTCTTTCTGAGTTCAGGTTTCTGAAGGATGTCTAAAGGGGGATTGAAACAAAAGCATTTCTGTGGGGAGCGCTGGCCTTTGTAGAAGGGGCAAGAAGAAAGACAAGACCCGGTTTGGAGGTTCTTAGAAATGTGCGATAAATCCAATCGCCCTTTAAATGCCAAGGATATAGGGCTGTTGGTAGGGGGCTTGTAGCCTTGAGTGGTGCCTCGCTGTTGTGGAGTTCAGGCTTTAGGGTCTCAAAAGCGTCCTAATAAATCCTGCATGACCCCTAACAAGCAATATACCATACTCCCCATAGTTTAGGGGTCCTTAAGGCAATGCGGGTTTTTTTCGCATGAACAGTAGTGTGTAGCTTGTTTTTTGGGCTCTCCGGAAGCCCAGGGCTTCGCCTTCCGAGACGCTGAGGTTCTGCAGCAGCTCCGCGTAGCTGCACCGGAAGCGGCATCGCCGGAAGATTTGGGACCAGGCCTCGTGATCGCCTCAACTTAACCCTAACCAGCTTAACCCTAAACCCTAAACCCCAAACCCGAAACCCAACAACCCTAAACCCTAAATGATTCGGCAAAATCACCGGGTTTTGGGATCCTAGCTTTCGGAGGCTCCGCACCCCGCGTCAAGAGCCCTGGAAGCCTCCAAAGCAGGAAAACCTGAACCCCAGTTGAAGTTCCCAGAAAAGGGATCTATAGTAAATAATATGGTTTCCTTATTATGGTAACTTAACCTAAATCCCCCAACAAGAACCCAGTCAAGACAGCGCGGCCGATATAAAACCTGAGTGGCAATTCAGGCAGTCGGGCGGATCGCGGAAGGTGGTCCACACCTCAAGCACGAACCGGATTCCATTAGTAGCCTGACAATTGTAATGTGCTTACCCCATTGTCGCACCCGTGCTACAGCAGCTTCATATTCCAACCTGAGAGTCGTCCACAAAAGCCCTCCAAGCATGAATCGGAGATGGCATCTGTGATGTCTAGGTCACTCTGTAAGGTTCCTGGTACACGCGAATCTCCCTGACCGAATAAGCCCCTCACGGCGTCTTGGAGTCCGCAACCCTACAAACCCCAAACCCCATAAACCCTAAACCCAAAAACCCCAAAACCCCACAAAAAAGATTTTGGCGTCTGCACCCAGGGGCACCCCCCTTTTGGGCACCCCCCTTTTGGGCACCCCTTTTCGGGGGCCCCGAGGTCGGCCTCGGCGGCCTTCCGGTGGTAGACGTAGCCGGACATCACCAGCTGCGTGGGATTCCGGGTGATGTGGACGATCCGCCCCGCACCCGCCGCGAGCATGTCTTGCCTTGGGGGGGAAAAGTCTAAAAGCTGACATGGGATCAAATGGAAAGGGCGGTGTACATGTAAGGCTTTTTTGGCTCCATTTTCTCAAACTCTTCCACTTGCAACAGTCGCTTCGCACCTGCACGCGATATACTATCCGTTCCAGCCTACGCAAGGCCTGCCCAAACAGAGCTTACCTGTGCTTTCTGGCTTGCAGCTCGAAGATCTCTCAGTCGGGTCTAGGCCCCAGGTTCAGGGTTTTGGGGTTTAGGCCCTAGGGTTTTTGGGGGGCTTCATTCTCTTCATCTACATGGATAGTCCAGGACAGAGCGACCCAGCAACCCATCGAAACGCACTGTGCTCGGCCTCGGCCGTCCTTGACTACTGCTCCCCCCTGAAGCTCCGAGTTGCAGCTGCGAGTCTCCAAGCAAGGGCTTGGCGAAGTGCGCCGTCATCTCCCCGGTTTCCGTATCTGCGAAGAGCCTGCCAACAACAATGTTGGTGCTGTTGGGTTCAGAGTTTTTAGGGCTTCAGGCTTCAGGTTACCAAAGATGGAGTAGGAACGACCCTAAACCCTACACCCTAACCCCTAAACCGTGCGAGTGTCGAGGCTAAGATTTCCCGGAGGCCTCGTGAAGGCTTGGAAGTAAGGAAAGATCTCGGGCTTGCCATCTCGCGGCTTCGCCTCTGCAAGAAGCCGCTTATCGAAGTAGGGTGATGATATGTATGTGTATGTGTATATATAATAATAATCATCATCATCATCATAATAATAATCAGAACAATAACAATAACAATGACAATAACAATAATACGGATACAGAAGTGAATACAGTACAGCAGTGTCTGCTTGCGTATCCTGTATGACTGCATGCAGTACCGGAGAAGGAAAGCTTTCGGAAAACATGCTAAAGAGAGTCTCCCACGCGATGATGAACTTCCGACTGTGCATAATCATGTACATATACACATAGGCATGTGCATACGCAGATATTTTCATTTACTCGATTGTGTGCATGAGAAGAAGAAGGATGACCCCGTTGATTTAAGCTGTATTCCTTGACCAAAGAGTGTTGAAGTCTCTGAGGGTGACGGGGTGATCCGAAGCTGTCGCGGTGGAGCAGGGGTCGATCTTTGCGTACATAGCTGACCGGGGGACAACCAACGCTCATGATGTCGGCAACCAGTTCGATGAAATGTGTTCGACTCACTGAGCCCTTTAAAAATGCCGACAGCTGACATGCATGCCGTAGCCGTCAAGGACAATCATGTCCGGCACGTGGACCTGTGCGCTTGCTCCTGTCTTAGGATTTTGGAAAGGTGAGGCTCTTCGGGTTCACGACGCCAAAAACATATCAGGCTGATGCAAGTGCCTGCGAAGCAGCGACTACCAGGGCAAGCAAAGCATTTCTCCAAAGCCAATCTTTGAGGCTTACAAGCTTGTAGCCCTTATGTTAGAGCTTCTGGGGAGTTTCCCTTATACAAGGGCCGTAAGAAGAGGAACAGGGTAAGAGAGAACATACATACATGCAAAGTCAACAACGAGGAACCTTAATCGAACAGAAGGCTTGGACGTTTTTAAGAGACGAGGGAGGTCTCTTCTTGCAAATCTTTCGCTTCCACCCTAGCCAAGCCAAGTCGCGCGACCGTCAAAGCCCGAAATCCCATCGAAACCTGGGCCTGGATCTTTCTCTCTCCCTTTCTCTCTCTTTCTCCTCATATAGGCAATGGATATCGACATAGATTTGTGTGGACTTGTACACATGCACAGAGAGAGAGAGAGAGAAAAGAGAGAGACTTGTGTTGTAGGAAATACATACAAATATACATATGCATATACATATACATATACATTTTCATATACATATACATTTTTATATATATATATGTATATATATATATGCATATGTATATATATATATATGTATATTTATATATGTATATATATACATATATATATATACATAGATTGCCTCGTGAAAGTGACGAAAATAACAAAATAAAGGCAATGGCCGCCGAATGCCTCAGGTCCGAACAAAAAACAAACAAAAAAACGCCCCAGGAGGTGGGGGATCTGTCGGATGGGGTTTAGGGTCAAGAGCTTAGAACCTCCAGTTGGGGTTTAAGGATAAGTAGAGTCTCGGATCGTGGGACAACCTTTACCGAAGAGCCGATTTTCACAAGCATGAGCCCAAGAACCCTCGACTCCCTTAAAGCTCCAAAACAGCAACTTCATAAAGGCGCTAGACTCGACTAGCTACACACACAAACATGAGCCCAAGAAGCCTAGACTCCCTCAAACCTCCACAACAGCAAGGGTAATCAAAGACGGGAGGAGGCTTCGAGGCCTTGGGCGGAGGGCTCCGAAGCAGAAAGAGCGCGAGCGGTCCAGGGCTGCTCACCTCGGAGTCGTCGGGTTTGGGGTTAAGGGTTTAGGGGTTTAGGGTTTAGGGTATAGGGTATAGGGTTTAGGGTTTGGGGTTTAGGGGTTAAGGGCATAGGGCTTGGGGCTTTTATGGTGCCAGATGTAGGCTTCCAAGTTGAAGGCTGTACTACGGTCTGTGTAAGTTTTCTCTCTGCGAGGTTTTTGGGGGGAATCCACGTGCTGAGGCGAGTCGGAAGGAAGTGACGCTGGGTTGGCTTCATAAACAGCTATAGCATTCCGATAGTATTAAAGTTTAGGGTTTAGGGTTTAGGACCTTAGGAAGTACAAAACCGAAGAAGAATGACATGAAAAGCAACTTCAACACGTGCCAGATCACGAGATGCCCTGTCCTGGCAGCTCGCAGCCTACAACTTGCCGTCCAAGCGGCACCGACAATTTCAGAAGTGAGCTGTGTACCAGCTTTGTGATACACCACGACGGCATTCATGAAACCACGCTTTGTGTCAGGATTGGCTTTGATAGGCTCCGTGCTTGCAATCTGATTCCAGAGTGCTTCGAAGCCGCTTTCGTTGAGAGTTGCCGAGACCGACAGTGCATGTGCGCAGCAAACACGAATCGACCAGGATGGCCACTCGGGAAAGCAGGCGTCGTTGCCAAGAAAATCGAACTTCCCCTGGTCGCAGCAGTCCAAGCGCACGTCAAAAGTTGGCTGGCTCTTATGTCGCGCAAGAAAGGAACCCCGGGCAAGGGAACAGAACAGCGGATCGACTGGTTCGCCGCGCTCCCGCTGATGAGACGCATGCTCTGCTGCGAAGCCGTTGAAATCGCGCAAGAGCTTTGCAAGGCGCAACACTTTCGGAGGTCGCGGGTCCACAGCATTCCTTCAGGCGCACATGATGCAAGAGGTCATGCTACAGAGCCAAGTAACTCGAATTCACCGGCCAGTTACCCTTGGCTTTGCGACTCTACATGGGGATGGCTACGGAAACACACAACATCAAGATCCTTCTGTTGCGTGACTACACGAACAACTTGAAGATTTGTGACTGTCATCTATCCAGTCCTTGTTTCGATGGATCCCGAAGACACCGAAATCCGAGCATACTGCTCCTGGCTAGCTGGGATTCCAAAAGCCCCAAGACGCCACTGGGAATTGTTCGACCCTTTTGTTCCCTTTACTGAAGGTATCCATTGCACCAGTGGCGGCTTCAGGGAATCAGGAGCTGAAGCATGCTTCAAACCGGAAACAACCTTGAAGCCCGTCGCTTGCAACACTCTGCCAACCCTTATGAGAACACGGTTGATGACATAAATCCTGCATTACCCAGAATAAGGAATATACCAGAATCGGTCCTTAACGTAATGCAGGATTTATAGCATCAACAGTATGAGGGGACCCTGATGAAGACTTTAAATACTGGGATCCAAAAACCCTGAACCCTCAGCATAACGGCTGCCGAAAGCACGGGCCGCCGAGCACCAGATGCTGTTCGGTAAAGCCCCTCCAAGGATTCAAAGGCTCCAGAGCCGCTGCTGCAGCCTTTGCGATGTCCGTAGCCATGGCCATCGACTCCGATGATGGAATGCAAAAGCTTGAGGTGATAGTTCGGGGCTTAGGTTGAAGTTGAAGAGCTTTTTCTGAATGAATGCAAGGAGCCCAGAAGCTTCAGAAGCTTCAGGCGAACTCCCACTTCTTGTGCTGGGCAGAGCCTTCCTTTTGAGTCGCTCTCTTTCTCTCTCTCTCTACCAGGCTTGGGGCTTAGGGTAGGTCAGACCCCTCGCCCCTCTCTCTCTCCTTCTCTCTTTCTCCTCAAAGAAGGTTGGCAAGAAAGAGCTGATGACTGAGGGTGGGGTGCTGGGTTTCGAGATGCCTGCTGGAAAAACTGAATGCCCGCTGCTGTTCCTCCTACTCACGCTGCTCACGGAACTTTAGCACTGGCCTCTTCAAGGAAGGCGCAGCTCCGGACTGCTCGAAATTGTTTTCTCTACCACGCAAGCTGCCTCTTTCAAGTACACACGGCTCCCTTGGCTTCTAAGCCCTTCAAGCGAATTCGCGTTTACCACCGTCAAACCCGTCTTCGAAGCCACTCAAACCTCCGAGTGGGGTCGAACTGGGCTACATCCAGGTTCGAACCTGGAGCCCAAACCCTGGTTTGCAGGTGGGCGCAGCAGCGCACTGAACGACAGTGGTAGCCACCGTAGGAGCTGTAGTTAGCCACCTTGCTCATGGAAAAGCCGTATGCTGTTTGAACGTGCGGCATGGACGTACCAGCACAAGATACACCAAGAAGAGACAATGCGGAAACCCGTGGCCGAGGACGGTTTGAGGCCCGAAGGACGCCTGGACCTGGCGGAGGTCGCTTGCTCAAAGTGGCCCAAGAAAGAAGCAGCGAAAGGCCATGAAGGCCCTGCTCGGGTGTCGCGCCCAAGGGGATGGAGGTTCAACCTTTGAGGGCTGCTCTCGCAGCGGCCCCCGCTGTAACCACCTTTCCAGAAGCCCCCGAGGGTTCCCTCGTTGCAACACCTTTCCTGCAGCCTAGCCTGGGAGAGGGCGCAAATTAACAAGGGGAAAGAAAGGGAAAAGCTCCAGCGGAAGCAGCAAGGACCAACAGGCTATTAAGGAGTTGTGGGAGACTGCCGACCCGGTGCAGCACGGCAACAGAGTTTAAAAGCCAGAAACGCCTTCTAAAGACGGCGACCTGCGCAAAATGTCCTTGAGATGCCCCTGGAAAAGATCCAGAAGCAGTGCAAGCAACAGAGCCGAAGCTCACGCCCAGCAGCTTCAAAAGGCAAGCCACAAAAGACAAACCAAAGAGCAAAGCAAAAACAACAACGCCCACAAGTGGGACGAAGGCTCTATCCCGCGACCACCCAGCAGAGAAGCCCGCGATGAAGCGAAGGGCATCCCGCTGCATAACGGTGGCACGTGGCAGGAAGGACAGAGCACGTGAACAGAAGGCCATGGATGCGGCATGATGCGCTGACATCAAGACCCGGCTCCGGTGAAAGCCAGGTCCTTCGAAAGGCAACCTCCGCTCCAACCAACCGGAGTCCAGAACCCAAAAACGTGTCACACTCTCGTTCTTTTCGGGGTCGCACCTAAGTTGGCGGATCACAATAAAGCCTTCTTATTCTCTGCGGTCCTTTGTTGGTCCTCGTTGATCCAGCCGGACCTACTCACAACCGCGTTCAAGGGACCCAGGCGACGCCAAGTGCCCGAAACTCCAAGCGCTACAAGCTCCAGAATCTTCAAAACAGCGACATGCTGCGCTTGGCGCCAAATCTAGGCATGGCAAACAGGTTTCGTGTCCTTGCCACGTACCTCAAAGCTTCTTTGTACAACAAACCACCCAAGCTCAGCTTCTTACCTAGCGACGTTTCTAAAGTCAACCAGTTCACCCACAAGGCTTCCTTGAAATGACGAACACCAACCTCAACTTGACCCTTCTGCTGAGGCCTTCCTTTCGCAACGGAATCAATATGCAAAGACAGACCCGGAAACGTCCGGTCCCTTGCTGCTTTGTTCCAAAGCGATTGTAATGTGTTCTCATTATCCATCCTCAGCACCATGTGCTGACCTTGGATTCCTGCGAAGCTCAACTCCGCATTGATGGCCTTCGCCACCCTCATCGGATCCTCTCCCGTGGCAAACGGGATCCCAACAATATAGCCACTGAGCTCATGTTGGATAAGGCACACGCGGAGGTCCTTAGTAAAGAAAAGGAAGTCACTCAGAAAGCTTGCCTGCGGAATCTTAGGATCACAACGCCTTCGTGCGGGGATAACCCCACGGCTAGAAACACAAAGAGAACAGGAGGGGAGAAACGGTTGATGAGCGCGTGCCACGTGCTCAATGTACACCTGATCATCCAGAGGAACATGCAGATCCTCCTGCGGTTCTTCTTCAGCTTCCGTCAACCCAGCGGGCTCTATGCCTCAAAGCACAGACTCGATGCAACAACTGCGGCTCAGATCTCCCATCATTGCCGCCAAGCACAAGCTCACCACGCTCAACACGTTGTGTGGCCTTCACGCGGCCATCTTCGCAACGTCCGCTACCAGTGACCCTCAAACGCAACACAGACACTCTCAGCTTCCCTTGCAAAACGAACCTACCAGCGTGCACTACCAGGCTCCTATGCGCATGCACTGCCTTAGACCTCATGCCTTGCACACACGCACTCCTAAGCACTGGCAAACTACCGAACCTATGCACATGCACTCTACCGGACCTATGCACATGCCCTCCTGACCTATGCGCATGCCCTCTTGACCTATGCACATGCTCTCGTGACCTATGCACATGCTCTTGTGACCTAGACACATGCTCTCGTGACCTATGCACATGCTTTGGCACAGATCTAAACAACTGCTCTTGCACAGACCTAAGCACATGCACAAACACAGACCTAAAGCACATGCACAGCCACACTTTTTACCTCACTTGTAGACTGCTTCTACCTGCAACCTTGCACCTGAACCACCTGCCACCCTTCCAAAAAACCGAACTCTCCCTTCCACTGGACTTCCCTGGGAAAAAACTTTTGCACAGCTTCGCCAATGGCGTCGAATCGGTAACGCCACTGGCCGCCTCTTCACTGCGGTGGGAGGTAGTGCAACTACTCCAGGATGCGCTGGCAAAGACTCTTGATAAAACACTTGTGGTGGGCATCAGATGCGATCATAGCCCCGGGTTACTAAGGAGGAACCATCATCGTCTAGGAAGGAACTGTCAGCTCTGGGCTGAGAAGGAACCATCCAAGCCCATGGAGACATCATCACAGGATATACCAGCAAGAAGGTGGCAACACCGCCGGTCGCAAGAGCCAAAACTAGGATGGAAGCGGCGGCCCTTGCGGCTCTTTTGCTTCTCGAAGGTTTGGGCCAGTTCTTTTGACAGCTTTGCCATGATATAGATGCCAGAGTATGCTGTCGAAGCAGCTGTCTCTTCTAGAGATCCACCCACGGCCAACTTGGAATGCTGGGTAAGCTTTCTACTTTGTAGTATTTGCTGGAACATCTTCCCCTTCCAAGCGCAGAGCTCCTGGAAGGTATTGTCATGTTTTGTGGCCCAGAAGCAGAAGCGGCGGACGTCGGCGCAGTTTGGACCAGTTCTGAACTGGCACTGGAGGTTTCCGACTCTGAATTCGGCACTGCACGGTCGCAGTGTCTCTTGCTCGAACAGTTTCGGCTCTAATGCTTGCATGGGCCTCTTTGTGAAAAGCAGAGCTCGCGCATCGGTTCCTTTTTCACTTGAGCTAAAGCGAAGTTGCGCGAACTGCGTCTGGCTTCTCAGCAGGCTGAGTACAGCAGCACTCTTGAAACGA